TTAAAAATGGCTGCACAGTTTCGAGACTGTAGATGTTTATTCCACAATTGAGGAAATATTTGAGTTGGAACACAATTTTACAAAGTGTAGATTTGTAACCTTATTTTTTTTATTGGTGTAAAAAATATTTCATATTGGGGCCAAGGCAGGATAAATCATTTTTACCTGAAGAAAAATTTACAATTGACATAATATCCTTTAAAATAAAATTATAATATTAGAGAGTAAGAATATAAATTAACATATCTTTATTGATTCAATATTAATTATATCCAGATTTTTTAAAATATATTATATTTATTTTTAAAGTTTTTAGCTAATAATAACAATTTAAAATATAAGGCCAACCTGGTTTAAAAAAAAAAATTCAGACCCTGTCTGGGTGTTTTAAAATAAAAAAAATTCAGACCTAGCCAAGGTATATTATAAAAAAATGATAACTACCCGGTCCGTTTACCCAGACTTAGGGCCAGGCCTGCAGGTTTCTATTAACAATCTTAGCTGAATTTAATAATGAAGGGATTTGGTGGTCGATCTGACTTTAAAACTCAATTATTTATAAAATTTAAAAAATTAAATTTAAATAATTTTATAACAATAAAAAAATGTTTTGCCATATTTTAAGAAAAGTTTTGCGTTGCCGTTACTCAAAAAAAAGAAACGAGGTGTAATGACGTTACTTTACAGCACTAATAAAAAAGATTAAAAATTAAGATATGTCTCTAACCTTCTTCTCATTATCCTTACCTCAGTTATTACTAGGGTTGCCAGACCTCCCGATTTTGGTGTGAACTGTCGATAAAATATGCCATCTATTAATAACGCTCTGCCAATTTTTTATAAAATATATTTATAGGTTTTCTCAAGTTTTTTTTAATACAAATTTTTAAAATTAGTCTAATCAGAAACTTGAGGCCAATTTTTTTAAATCATACATCTAAAAAGGCCACTTGTTTATGGTTATTTTTGTTCTTTTATTTTTAGAAAAGAAGGAGCAATAGTTAATATCTCACCATTTTAAAAAGAAATATAAGTCCTAATTCTGAAAATGATTTTTTACCAATCTAACTATCCTATACAGGGTTGCCAGGTCAAAATTTTCAAATTGTGGGAGAAATTCGGTATTTTGTGGGAGTAATATAATGTGGGAGAAATATGAAATTGCTGGCCCGCAAAGGCCCGGCCTGCGGCCGGGATTTAGAATTCACTTAGTTATCCGCTTATTATTTTTTATATATAAAATCGAATCTATTTTCCAAAATAAAATAGGTAATTATTTTTCAAAATAAAATAGCCTACTATTTTTCAAAATAAAATAGCCAACTATTTTTCAAAATAAAATAGCCATCTATTTTTCAAAATAAAATAGCCAACTATTTTTCAAAATAAAATAGCCAACTATTTTCAAAATAAAATATCCAACTCTTTTTCAAAATAAAATAGGTAACTATTTTCCAAAATAAAATACGCAACTATTTTTCAAAATAGGTAATTATAGTACGACACAAAATTTCTTAAATACTATCTTTATTATTAAAATAACATATAGATTTATTATAATATATTAATTTTGTTTAAAAATAATAACCAACGATCTTTTTTAAATATAAAAGAATGTAAACAAGATAAAATTTTATAAAAAAATTGTAATTTTACAATGCAAAAAAATATATTTTATGCTAATGTATAAATAAGATTTTATAAAAAAACAAACAATTTTAAATTTACAATGTAAAAAATAATTATAATCAGTGCGGGGAAGTTGTTCTACAGTATTTAGTTAATACAATGGGAGAAGGGAATATGATATTTTGAGGCATCAAAAATCTTCAAAGCATAAATCAGTACAGGGCAGTCTATCAACATCTATTGCAAAACAAAAATAAGAAATAATACAGATGTAACTACAGTTGCGGAAATGGTAAATACCTATCATGTAGTACAACATTCAGAGAGCTACTTAACATCACAATGTTGGTTCTTTCCCCATAATATTTAACGACTAATATAAATGAAAAGTATACTTTGTAGAACATAAATGAGCAAGGCTATCATCAATGTTTTAGGATATAAATCCAGAAGGTCAATTCTTGACGATTTGAAAGATGTGCAAACATATGCAATTCTAACAGATGCATCTAATAAGGAGATATCAAAACATTTCCCTTGATCCTCCCCTATTTCGACAAAATTAATGTCATTTCAATAAAACTATTAAAAAAAATTTCTCCAGATATGAAATATCCAAAGACATAGCTAACCATATATAATGGTAAATATGACAGATTTGGCAGCCATCGTAGAATTTTAAAATTTTACAAACCTTTAAAAAATAAATAGATTTTAAAAGCTGTCCTAATATTTTGAAAAAAATTTTCAAAAATAAATGGCAGAAGTATATTTAGGAATTTTACATATAGGAAATCTACTATATGCTGTTAATATGCAGTTGCAATCAGAAGAATATAATTTATTAAAGGTTCACTAAATTATGCTGCAGAAATACCAAAGTAAGAATATTATTACTATTATCGGATAATTATTAATAAGATTTAATATGATGTCATGTTTGAGGAGATTGTAATGCTTCTTTATTTTTATGATTTGCCAAAATATTAATTTTACAATGTAAAAAATAAATTTATTTGATTTTATGCAATGTATAAATAAGATTTTATAAAATATAGAAAGTCAAATAGTTATAGTTAATTATATTTAATTTGAGATTTAAATAATGGAACTAAACGTTTACCGTCGTTATTAAGATATTTATAAAATTCCTGGCATGACATTTTATAATTTTGTTTAACCATTAACTCGGCCTCTAATGTTGTTAAAGCAATTCGATTTCTCTCCTTTCTCCAGGCAGTCCTCATCAGGCTAAAAATGCGCTCCGATGAGGCATTAGAATGAGGTAAGGAGAAAACATACTCGCAAATTTTTTCCAAGCATGGGGATTTATCGTTATTACGAAAAAATTCCACCCATTTCTTCTCTGCTTTTAGACCATCTAACTTTAAGTATTCTGGCGAATCATAAAAAATGGAAAAAATTACAATCTCTTCAAACAAGGCTTCAATGTCTATCGGTAATTTTAATATATTTATTAAATTACAAAAACCATCAAATGATGGTTTCTGTTCCAAGGTCATAATATTTATACACTTGTAAATAGAGTTATTAAAATCAAATCTTAATTGTAAATATTCCAAAATTGTCTTAATAAAAATATTTGCTTTATTTAAAAATACATTAATTATAGTAATATTTGAACATTTTAATATATTTTTAGCAATAGCGCCATAAAATTTATTATTTATTTTTAACTGTAGAGATGAACAGAGCTGTAGCATGATTTCGTGAATCTTTATCAATAAAGAATCTTCTGATTGCAACTGAATATTAACTATATGAAGTAGATTTCCTACATGTAAAACTGATCCCAAATATGCTTCTGACATTTCATCCTCAAAAATTTTTCAAAATTTTAGGACAGCATTTAAAATCTTTATTTAAGAAATATTTCTTTAAGGGTTCGTAAAATTTTAAAATTCTCTCGATGGCAGGTATTAATGATAACCACCTGATAGGTACTTATCGCATCAACTCACACCATTCCAAATCAGACCACTCCATCTTTTAGTTGATGAACTAAGTTCGTTAAAACATTTCATCACAATTACTTCGACATCTACAGATAGTACATTCATTGCCTTCTTGCAAGAATTATGCAGTATATGGCATATACAGCCAATTGGTATTAATTCATTATTGTGCTGCCTCAATTCGGTAAATATACTTTGATTTTTAGCTATTTGAATAATATATCAATTATATTTATAATCTTTTGCTTGACATATACTTTATGGAATAGTATAAAAGTAAGTAGTGAAAAATATTATTTAATCAATATTATTCATCTACTAACTTTATTTAAAAGAATTAGAGATTAGAATAATATCCACTTCTAAAAGTTCTATTCTTCTAACACAAAAATTTTGAAAATTTCGAGCCGAGCCAATGACATATAATAATACCTAGACTGACAATAAAAGCATGTATCAATTGAAATCAGCTGGAGACGCCATTAACACCATGATGAGTACATCGATGATAATTTGTCTTAGAACCAATTCTTCATTAATTCTTACTATAAGTAATACCATGGTTATATTTATAATAATTATTTTACCCTCTAGTTCTTAATATCAAGAGTCCATTATTTATTTTAATTTTATATTTAATTAGCTACTGATAGTGGAGCACTGCAATTCTAGATAACGATATAAAATATATTAAGTAATTTAAAATATAATTATACATACTGTTCTAACTTCAATTCTTTCTAACACAAAAATTTTGAAAATGTCGAGTGGAGAATTTTATAAAAAATATATTTTAGAGCGGAAAAATAAAATAAAAGAACTAGACATATTTTTCGAATAAATATTTAAAATTTATTTTAAAAATAATCAAATACTGTCTCTCAAAATTATTTATATATTAAAAACATTAAAATGCTAAAAAAAAATTGTGGGAAATTAAAAAATTGTGGGAGCTTTTTGTGGGAGATTTCTAATTGTGGGAGTGAGATGTATGTGGGTAAACTAAAAAATTGTGGGAGACTCCCACTGATGGGGGGAGACATGGCAACCCTGGTTGCATAGCCCAAAGCTAACTGCTAATGCAATCCTTGAGCTCAGAATCAGGCCTTTACAGAATTTAATGGGTTTGATATCTAAAAAATTAGTATTACTTATCTTATATAGGCATTATATAATTATCTTTATTGCATAGGCTTAAACTAACAACTAATGCGGTTCATGGGCATGGAATCAGGCCTTAACCTGTACATTGAATAAAAACGAAAAGAAATGTTGTGGCTGCTTCACTTTTGTGCTTATAATTATTTATTTAACTAGACCTCGTAGGTAAAGATTCGGACCTGTCCTTTACATAATTCTAATATTTATGGCAAGTAATAATTATGTTAGTATTGCATTTCTCTCTATTTATTTTGTTTAAATTACAATGATTTCAATTAGTATATTATTTTTTTATTTAACAAATCAATCACTCAAAAAGAAATTTTAATATATATTATGAGTATAAATGGTATGAGTACAATCAACACATATTAAGGTTATTATTTTTGTTCATTATATTCAAGCAATTATTATCCATATTAAGGCTATTATTGAGATTATTAGAGGATTGAGCATTGTTTCCTATAGATAGATTGGAAGAATTTAGTTTAACCTTAGGCAGCTTATTAAGTATCTGAGGTATATCGTTTTTATCATCCATTTCATTCCAAATGTCATACAGGTTGACAATCTCACTAGTTATCTCCACTATCAAATCCCAATCAACATTAAGTTCGGCAAACCAATTGACATAATTATTTTTCTGTAGTAACACACATGCTAAGTGCAAACATGTTATAGCTATAAGGTGGGGTGCAGTTTTTAGACACAAATCAGTTCTGAGCGAATCGTTAACCAAGTTCCAAGCCAGGGGTAAAATTTTGTCCTCTTGGCCCATATCGGAAGCTAAGAGTACTAGAGGTCTGTATGGTTGGTAGAATAGCAGCGAACAATCTAGCATTTCCAATAGGTAAAATTCACATTCTAATACATTATTAGAGCGGTAAGAGTATTCAGGTAATTGAAGAAAAACGTACTTGGTTTTTAATAGCCCCTGACAAGAGGCAATAAGACGTGTATTTGAAATGACGCCAAATTCTTCAACCTTGGAAGCTAGAAAAAGTGATGTTGGGGCTAATAAAAATGGATCCACATCTTTCAGAGAATTGATTACATAAAAGCGTTTAAAGTAGCCCACAGCAGTGGCTACCACCTGTTGCTTTACTTTAAGTTGTTCACCCAAGGACTGGATAAAATCAGCAAAGAAAATCATCAATTTTTGGTAATCAATTTCTGTTAGGAGTTGGTAATCATTATGTCTTAAAGTGTTGAGTGTTTGCCCTAAAAAAATCCAGTTATTTGAATGAGAACTTTTCCAGAAATTAGCTGTCATTGTAATTATATTTAATTTTTAGAGATTATTCTATTTTGACAATTAATCCCTATAAATAGATAAGAATTTTAAATACATTATTTTTAATGGGTTTGATCAAACTACATATTCTTAAAAATTTGTTTTTTTAAATGGAATTATGTTAAAATAGAGATCAACACAGTATAAATCATTTTAGGATAAACAATTTATATAAATATTTTAATGGGCTCCTTCAAAATCATAAATTTTTTATTAAAATAAGCACATTTATGTTTTTTGTTATATAAAAATCTATTATTGACTGGTCAGCTTCTACAAGGTGACCTCTAACATTAATCACTTTAAAACAATCTAAAAAATGGTAAAAGTAATTTATCAAACAATACTGAGATCCAATCAAACCTGCATTAAACCAATATAAACCTTTATTAAACTGAATCATCAAAAATTTTATCACCTGAACCTATAAAGTGAACTGATTTAAATCTTTAAATATTCCACCCGTTTTAAATATTATCAGTTAATATCAATCATTATTTTATATATTATTGAAAAATAATCTGTGTTGATAAAGTAATGACCAGAGTTGTTAAAAGCTAATTTTAAAAGTAGCGAGCTACCGCTATCACTATTTGTTAAAAGTATTGCACTATTAGCTAATATTTTTTAAAAATAACTTAAGCTACTTTTTGTAAAAAAATTTAAAAATAAATATGTTTTATTTTTTGCTTATAATGTTATTGTATAGTAAATATAAAAATCAACATTTATGGTAATTTGTTGCATTTTATAAGTTTTTACCTTCTGTTATGTGTCCAACTATCTGCCATGGTACATATATATGATATCTCTGATAACTCTACTATTAGAGCATCTTTCATTACTTTAAAGTTATCTGCTATTTTATTCATTAATGTCTGGCAACATAAAATTGTTGTACCAGGGGATAGTTTTACATTAAGGTAAATGATGGATAATCAACCAAAGATATTGGCTGAACTGTATCAATTATAAAATCAACAATAACTTTATCAGCCAATTTCTGAGAAATATTAGCATTTATATTATTAATTAATTTGGTTTGAATTGAATTAGTCTTTTTGGATGTAGTCACCTATACTAAAATTATTTAGATGTTTCTCCATTTCCTTAAAACTATTGGTGTGAACAGTCTTATAAAATAAATACTATTAGAATGTAAAAATAATAATTTATCTTTTGGTGTTTCTTGAGGTTATAGCTACTGGTTTGATTTGAGGAAATATTTCTTTTACATTTTAAACAAATAAATTTGAAGCCAGTTTTGGTTTTTATATTTATTTTAAAAAAATTTTTAAATTTAGGGAATGGGAAATTTGTATTATAGCTATTAAGAACATTTTCTTCCCTGGTATCTTCCATTTCATTAATATCATTGTCTGAATCACTTTCAACAATTTGGATATCCATAGGTGATGACATTTTAAATTATTAACACGTGATATGAAAATATAAATTACAAATTAAAAATATAAATTTCAAAATTAAATAATAAAAATACAATTAATTATGATATTATATTTAAATTTTCATGATTATACTTACCTTCATTATATTTTTTAAAAGTAGCTAAGTAGCTTGCACTAAAAAATTAAATAATTACAAAAAAAGTAGCAGCTAACAACTCTAGTAATGACTATTTTTAGCTTTAAGGATAGCATACTACTTTTTCTTAAAATAATATAATTAAATGCTCATTTTTTGGTGGTATAAATCCAATTGGTCATCTGATAATGGCTGAAAATAAAATGAATGAGAAATTAGTATAGAAGATAATTGTTAGGTTAAGTGGGTATTTTTTTTCTTCTTGTTTTAAGTAATATACTAATAAAAATAAGTAAAATATATTTTATAAACTAAATAAAAAAAATGAAAGCAGAAAAATTAATTATCATTTAATGTCATGTAAAAGTGGCAAAAGCTTTTGAAACTAGTAATTTTTGGAGTACTATTTACTTTTTATATTCTAGTTAGTAAATAAATAGTATTTATTTCTTAAACTTAAAAATTAGGTAATTTGAAAAAGAAAAACTAATAAAATATAAAATTTTAAATATTTATTAAATAAAATAAGTTGATAGAAAGGAAAAAATAGGAACTATATAAATTTTTTCATTCTGTAATAAAAAACTTTTTAAAAATACAGTGCGAATTTTACTTTATAATTGTTTTATATAAAAAAATATAATTTTATAGTGGCTTACCCTTTAATTAGTTTCCATAAATTATTCGTAATTCAATAAAAGGAACAAACAAAATACTTCTCTAAAATTATACTGAAAAAAGTATAGCATCGCAATCACAGAAATGGGGTGATTGTTGGGAAATATTGTTGCCAAAATTAAATGATCGATATTTTATTTAATGATGATCTGGTATTGACAGGTGCCGAAATTGTAACATATTTGATAATATTTTAAAGTGGATAATATTTAAATCTAATTTAGCTCCCTAAATTGTTTTCCATCATATTGTCTGGATATTTTATAATCGCCACTGTTATATAGATATATGGTATTTGATGATTGATCTGTTTTACATCATAGCAAATATTCATGGTCTGGGGAGATTAGGTGAGTTGAAGATATATATATTTCCAAAGAAATTGAAGTATAAGTATTTTGAGGCTGAGGTTCTCTCTTGAGGCGTAATATTTCCCTTATAGTGTACGTATGGTACATCATATTTGTCCATTAGATTTAGGATGGTATGACCAATGATATATATATATATATCATTGGGTATGACGTTACATGGATGAGTTGAACATTTTCTTGTTTATTAAGGTCGCAATCAATTGCGCTCCATAATCAGACACCAATTATATAGGGGCACCAAATCTCGCAAACCAACTTTTTAACCACCTAAACTAAATTATCGGCTGTCGTTGATATCAGTAACTAACTCCACATTATTTGGAATATAATCCATTCCTACTAGCCAATAAAATATATCCATAGGCCCTGTAAAATCAGTATGCAGTCTCTTGGTTGTGATGTTTGACATCCCTGACACTGATTAACATGGTTATCCATATCAGGGTCGCAATTCGGCCCCCATTAATAAAATCATAGCATTGATTATCCTATAATTAACTAATAATATATTTTAACAAATTTAAAAAATAAAATTCCTCAATCAAGCGTTTTGTTGGGTGAGGTAGGCGTTGTAATGGTCGATTCCAGGGTGATCATTGAATCTACGCCCGATGATTCGTCCATTGTCGATGAATTCCTACCTTTATGTCTTCCATCTCATTTAAGTCATAAGTCCCCACTTTTTCTGTTTCCTTTATGGTCCCACAATTTTAGCCCCATTTCTCAGTCCGGTCGTAATTGGCCCTCATGCTTTCTATCAAGTTTGGATTTAGACTCTGCCTCTTAAGAATAAAATCTATCCTAATTAACAAAATATTTATTTTTAATTTAGGCCTCCAATATTTAACAAACAACCTTTGGCCGACTAGAAGACGAGTAGCTGTTATGAATTCTAGTCGACTAGGGTATTTAATTATTAAAATTAAACAAAATATTTATTTTTATTTTATACTTACAACTTGTATGGTTAATACGAGTTATACACTTGAGTCGACTAGAGGACGATTAGCATATTAGGAGGGAAGATCGGGGCAAAATTGAACTTAATCTAGGAATTATAATATATTTTAAATATTTAAGGCCTTTATCGGAAGTGTGAATAAATATTCTAACAATTTAATTTACCCATACACTTTATCCCAAAGTTTACTATGAAATCGGGAGGGTGGGAGCATTGTTACTACTCAAATCCTATTCTTAATGTGTTGTAATTATTTGATTGCCGGCCTTTTTTGAATGAACCAGAGCTCTAGGATGCAAAGACAAACATTTGCTTTATTTTTGTCTTTTTTTTTACCTGGATAATTTTTATTCCACAAAATTATATTAGCTAGCACACTATTTTACAAAGAAAATTTATATTTAATTACTTAAACAGAAAGGCATAATATGCCCTTTTTCAAAAACTCAGCAACCCTCTTTAATCCAAATAAGCAAGGTAAAAGACGCGATGGATTTGGAAAAGGACATTATGAGGCTAAAAATGCTTATAAATTCATTTAAATTTTTTTAGAAAAAGAAATCTTATTCCCCAGCGCACGATTATAAAGAAAGCGAGCATTGGTTTGATTATTCTGTTTTAGATATATCTGTTCAGATTTTAACCACTCCCTCTATTGTATGTTAGACTAAGAATTATTATTATTTTTTGTTATCTTTCTTTAACAATTTTTTAAAAGAAAGATTTTCATGGAGGAAAAAAACAACTAATTTATGTTTTCTTTTTTTAGAATATGTCCTAAATATATAAAAAAACTACTCAGTATTAAGAATTGCATAATTTTTCCGAGTTTTGAGCAATAGAAACATGTGCCTAATGAATCTTCATTAAATTTTCAAAAGTATTGTTAAATTTTAATTTATAACATTTCTTGGAGCGCCAGCCGAAAAAGCAGCTCAGCCTTGGAACCCGAGCCAAAATATTAGTTCAGCCTTGGAGTCCGAGCTGAAGAAATTGGCTCAGCCTTGGAACTCAGACTGAAAAAAATTGGATAACCTTTCAGCGCGAGCCAAAAAAAATCGGACCAGCCTTGGAATGCAAGCCATTAAATTGATTAGCGAATCATTTTGATTTTTATTTAAAAAATTAATAAATTATATAAATATGAAAAAAATAATCATTAAAAAAAAATATGTGTTTCCCTTGTTATTTTCCAATTAGATGATGTTTTTACAGTAAAAGAAATATGTCAATATGTTTTCATTGAAAATTAACTTCCCCATATTACATTTAAGTGGTAAAAAATGTTATTTTAATTTGAAAAGAAAAATAACAAATTTAGTTTATTAAGATGAAAATAAAAATAAAAATTAGAACCATTTTTTATGAATTCGCTCATCTCTAGGGTGATATTTCTTTTTTAATAATTTAATTTTAGTTCTTATTAAAGTTTTTCTTTATAAAATATAAAAATTATTATATATAATTTTTAATATATATCCTTATTTGTATTTTTTTTAAATATATTTAAATTGAATATTGTTCATATTTGTATTTATTTTTTTTACATTTTTTTATGATAAAAAAAAATTCACAAAATAATAGAGATCAAGATATAATTTAAAATAAAAATTATTATGCATGATAAAAAGAAAAATAACAAATTTAAATCTTTTTTAATTAGGATCTTATTTATAGAAAATATACAAAATTGTGAAATAATATACAGTAATAATATGATTTGTTGTAACACATTTCCATAATGTGAAAAAACATTCTTATATAGTTAAATAACTTTCTCTAATTATTGTAAAAACTTGTGGAAAACAGATCCTTTTTTAAAAACTTTTAAAACTTGAAAGAAAATTTTGAGAAAAACATAATTATTTTTTAAAACTTCTGGGTATTTTAACCTAAATTAAAACTTTTAATATTTCTTTTAAATTTGATTTTAAACTTATAATAATTTTTTATTATAATTTATAATTTTTTTTTCCGATTAAAAACTTTATTTCCATTTTTTTTCAATGTTAAATTTTACTATCGCTTGTATTATGAATCTATCTCCAGTTTCAGGTTTGTTAATATAATATTCGATTATTTACTAACTTACTTTATATATATAATTTTAGATACCATCATCATATTGGGGAGTTATCTGAAATAACAAATAGATTCCAAAGTTATTCGCCTATCCCATCAAATCCCCTTATATGCCTAACTGACATTACAAATCGATGTCAATATTCGAATTTTCAAGAGCAACCAAATGTTGATTCTATACGCTTGAGGGAAAAATATGGTATTTGGAGCGATGAAAAAATGGAATTGGCAAAAATATGGCTGAGCAAAGACAATTGCCCATGATCTAAATTTATCCATTGGTTCAGTTTATCGTTTCAAGCGGGAAATTTTCCCTGAATATTATGACGACCTTTTATCTGATTATATAATAAAACAACAAGGTCGGAAGAAGAAAGATACTGTAGAACTTCAATAGCATATAACTGAATTGTTTGGTAATAATAACGGCTATACAATTAATATTATAGAATATTTACCGCCACATCTAAGGTTGAGCGAGTCAGCTATATTTAAATGTATTAAATTAGGAGCCGGAAAAGGGTTGGAAAAGAACCCGATGGAAGAAACGCTCCAGATGTAATTCAAATTCGAAGGGATATTGTTACAAGATGAAAAATATTTCTTTTGAAAATGTATCTTTCCTGGACGAGACAGGGTTTAATATCCTATTATTTCGCATTATGGGTGTGCACCCTTGGGAAAAAGGCCATCTGTTAAGTTACTTCCCTCCAAGGGGAAAAATATATCAGTCCTATGCTCAATAGGAATAAGTGGATTAAAAAAATTCATAATTATAGATCGTGCTTTCATTGCCATAAAATTCTAAACATATCTCGATGAATTTCAATTTTACCATCAAATTATTTGCTTATAATGGATAATGCTCCTATTCATCAAGTGAGGATAATTGGTATCACCCTATTCGCCTTAATTAAATCCGATAGAATATTTTTTCGTGGAATACCTATTGAATTCACCTAAACTCATTAACCGAATAGAATTTGTTGCATTTGTTACGAGTATTTTAAATAGTTATTTTATATACAATTTTTATTCTCACACCACAAAGTTCATTGAAGATGGAATTCGATGCATTCCTTTAAATGATTAAATTTATAATTGATTTGTATTGTGTAATATTTTATTTACATAGAGTAAATACGTGATACGTGATAAAAGCGTTTTCGCCCTCTGGTTGTGGATACAACAGAGCTACGCTAGGTTTTCCTCAAAAATCCATCAAACTGGATAGTTAATTATGGGGAGAAAAAATGAGGAGCCCTTCACACGTTTGTGGGCAAGCCGCACGTACTTGTACGCGCAACAGTCCGAGAACTGTTGCTTAAACGTCTATAGGCTAATAAACAAAAAGAAATGGGCAAAACAAAAGCCTATACCCAAGAACTGCAAAAATAATTTAATTACTTTAAGGGTGGGTGGTGGCTAATTTTAAGTTTAACATCTAATGTAAGCCTTGATAATTACCAACAATAATTGAGAATGTGTTCATATCAATTGAGATTAGAATTTATTCATGAAAATAAGAAAAAGCTAATGGGTTTATCGCAAATTGTTTAAATAGGTGAAGATTCCAGTGAATAGGCAAAAACTAGTCAGTAATCGGTTTATGACTATCCAGCAACGAACACCACACAACAAAGGTTTTTTTTTCTTTTTCCAGAGAAACAA